GGTGCATTTTATCTTCGATAGCCCAACGCGGCGCGTCCACCGGGGAGACGTGGGTGGCACCCCTGTAGCCTCTTCCGCTGTATCTGTTCTTAAAGGGACACTGACAGGGTATTTATGCTCGCCGAGGTTTTTAGTTGTACGTGACATTTGAGAGCTCAACTACCCAGAACAGAATTTGCGGCTCGAAATTCGGTTTCTTTCCGCCCGAAAACCGCCGATCAAGAACTGGCCGGTTCGAGTCTCGCTCACTCTCTTTTCCGCGGTCACGGGCCGTTTTCTAAGGTATCGATGCGACCACCAAATTTAATCAAAGTCGTGGGTCACTGAAGGCACACACTCAATATTAAAAATAGAAAAAAATATGAAACCAATTTTTTGTGGCTTCTAAAAAGCTGCAAATACGTTGATTGAAAAAAAAGTTTCACAGACAACCGGAAGCATTCTGTGCGTTCGTCGTTTCGCGTATCGTGGGACTCCCAGGGACGCGATGGCAGCGGACGACGGGCGTGAGACCTCTATTTCAGAACTGTCGTTCGCGGTACCGGAGAATTTTGTCTGCCTTTAAAAGAGAAATTTGGGACTGATCGAAAGAATTGGTCCTCATCCCGTACGACATGCCCGACCACCAAGCCGATTTGCACGAAGACGTCGCCGAGCCGTCGCTCCCTTCTCATGGCTGAAGACATCGCTCGCGCAAACGTCAAGCACGACGTGTCTACTTCGAGTTGAATATGCACGCGTACGATTTCTTTACAAGGTGAGAATGTCGCCAATGCGGGGTGCATCCCGACTTCGACCCGGGAGTGCTTTTGCTAAAGGAAAATCGGTAGCAAACTTTCAAACTTACAGTTTATCGGCTGAATTATTACTAAGGAAAAAGATCCCCAACTTTCGATATTTCCCAGTTGCTTAGTGGGAAAGACGTTCGCTTTACACGCCGTAGGGTCGGGTTCGATCCCCCGTAGAACTTTTTTTTTTTTTTTCGTATGTTTTTTGATGTCTACATTTTTTTTCTTTTGTTAAAATTATCACTGAAGAAACAAAAAAAGAAACAAATGTTGTGGACGACACGTCGCTGAATTAAATGGTATGGGATTTCCTTTTTGGCACCTGCGAACTCAACGTAATCACTTTCCACGAGATGCAAGGAGCATATAAATCAGGTAGCGTCCGCTTTCCGAGGTGCCCGTAAATGGTCTACAGGAATTGCAGCCAGCCAATGGTCCCGATCCCGTTGATCTTTCGGAAACTCTGTCGCACAATGCCACTTCTGTTTCGGACGCAGGACATGTGAGCCAGCTCTTCACGCAACATCTTGGGTGTATTCTTTTCGGAGCCGATCAAAATTCACCACGGGCACTCACTACTCATCTCCAACTCCTCAATATACAAAACAACTCATCTTGGAGTACAGAACAACGAGCGGAACATACATAACTGCAAAAGAATCCCACGGCGAACAGTTCCCGTACCCGCACGCCGCATGTCGTCTGCTACCGGGAAGGAGAAAAAAAAAAAAAAAAAAAAAAAAACACGTCGGGTGTAGCCACGTGACTTCCGCCACTCGCTCTCTTCTCTCCACTTCTCCGACCTCCGTCGGGTTTCGGTTTCGGTTTTGAGCAGTTGCGTCTTTTGGCTTTATTAAAAAAATACGCTACTCTCTTGCAAAATATTAATTGGGTAGTCCTCTGACACCATAATGAAGCGCCTGGCAAAAAATTAAAAAAAAATTTTGGGGGGTGTCAGTGTCCCTTTAAAGCCAAAAAAGAAGTCACGTGCAGTTCCTCGAGTGGCCGCTGCGGGAGAAATGGTGGCATTGTGTTCGTGATTAGCTCGGTGCTCGGAGACAGTTCGGGGCCACTTTTTGAAAGCTGTCGCTATGGGAGTTTCCCAACTGAGTGTTTTAGTAACGTTGGCTACAGAACACTAGAGCACTATATAGCTCCTTCGGAGCAGAGTAGCGTAAGGTAGCGCCATCTCTCCTCCTCACCCTTTACGTTTCTCTCTTTCTCTCCTTTTGGCGCCGCGCGCGCCGCCTAGGGGGTACCAAGAAGGAGAACTAGCAGACGACGGCCGTGTCCTCTCTGCGCATTCAGAGCGCACAATCTTTCGCGTTGCGTATTTGAAAGTGCAGGTTTCTGATGCATTCTTACATTGCATAGTGCCAAGCAAGTGTTAAACACCAAGAAAGAATGAGTTAAACGTGACGGCAACGTTTTCAACCTTCGGATAAAGCTCACAGAACTGAGTACATAGAAAATAGAACGCAGCTTTATTTCCACGAGTAACAATGCAACGATATGGTTTTCACGATTGTTGTAAGCACCGTCACTGTCAGTGATTAAATACGTAAGAATGCCTTCGTAATATTCGGCCCCACATAATCGCGAAAATTTCTAGATCCTGCAGTCTTCCACGAGCTTAACGACTACAAGCGCGAATTGCGATTGCTGCTGCCTCCGCGCTAAAAAGAGCTTGAAACGCTATAGCAATCATACCGTAGATAAACATGCATGAGCTACCGAGGACGCCGGACTATTGCGATCATTACTGTCGATCTAATTTCGACCGGGGCCTTACGAAATTTGGGTGACTGCATGTATAGCAGGGCTAGTTTGTCACTCGTCGCTCTTCATATTCGTTTCCCTTTTTTTTTTTTTTGAGAGGGGTTGGGGGGAGGGGGGGGAGGGGGTACGGTTGACGTTGGTGCAGTGCTACTGTATTCCGATCTGTAAAGCCCTTCTATACTTACGAATCGGCGGTGTCGGCTGGCCATACTACTGCAATACCGTTGGAAACTGGTGTTCCTTCGATTGTACCGTAACTTCAAGCACTTTTTTAAGTTTAATGAATTTTACAGTTATTTGCCAGAAATAAACATAATCTGCACAAGCTAGGTAAAAAAAAAAAAGATCGTGGCAGATTATTCATATGATGTATTACATAGCATCACAGTTTACAAGTTTTGCCTCCTTTATATTTACTAAAAGTAAAAATATCCAACTTTGGTTTTGGTCATTACCAGAATGGGGAAAAAAAAAATTGCAGAGAAAAGGCAACTGACTCGAGATTAAAATATGTGGCATATATTTATTTTCAAATTACCACAGACTACCATAGCCAAGACAGCAGTGAATGGAAGCACTTATACACATGCTCAGATATACTTTTTACAACAAAAACAATATATGAAAAATTATTAGAAGGAGTCACTACACAAATCTAACAGGCAAAACATAAAATTATAAAGAAGGTCTCACACTAGCCAGTTTTAACAACAAAGACAGTACACAGAAGTATTATTACAAAAAAGCCTCATCTGAAATTTATGTATACAACACTAATATATACGGCAACTCATTACAAAAATGTGAGCCCATTTGGCCTACCCGAAAACGCCGCTTCGCGGCGTCCGACTATTCGCTAAAGTGTCATTCGGTGAAACGTGGACGTTCGCTAAAACGTCATTCGATCAAGTGAGTGCCTCCCGTCCTTCCCCGGCCGTCCGACAACGCAATCCGTGGCGAAATGCGAAACGGACGTCCAGCAACAAAAAGAAACGAAAAGCTACACAACCAACGACAACAGCAAAAGTGGCCCGAACGTCTAAGCAAGTCCGGATCTGTCCGACGCAACGCGAGTCCGGCGTAGCTTGCGGCGCAGCTGGCGACGGGACACACGAGACACGGGAGAATTTGCTGGCTGGATCCTTCATGGCTGCCAAAGGGGCGGAGCGCTAGGAGAAGGTCACGTGCCACACACCGGCCTACCGCTGAGCTTGGCGGCGTGATAAAAGGTTGTCGCTACTTTAGAGTAGCGCAATCTAGAACGCCGCCCCTCGGCGATTAGCGGCGAACGCCCGGAGGTTCCAACTGCGGTCAGAAATGCATGGAGAACGTGAGAAAATCGTTGTTTCTTCAGTATTGTGGGGATGTACGGAATGGCAATCATTTTTGACATAATAATGGAACATTTTAGAATAATTTTCGCTAAGTTTTGTGCCCCACAAGGACGTCACTTTTTTTAAAAAATTGCCTGAGCGGCATCATGCAGCAGACGACACGGCGACGTCACACCATTCACGTGACCCGCTCCGGCCAACCCGAAAAGCCCATATTCGCTGCGAGCAAAAATCGTCTGCTTCAAACGCCATTGCCTTGGAAATTGCCTTCTCAAAATTTGCACACGCATCCGATATTGTTAAAACTTTGATAAAATGCTCAGTGCTTTACTAACTTCACGACAGACTAGTTTTGAAAAGTGTGAACTCGCCGTTCATTTTTTAATCAGCCGTGTTGAGTCGATCTCCATGTATTCTCCCATAGGACGGGCCGCCTCCTGGAACCCTGAGTACCACGTGACTCGCGCCGATCCGCTCTGTCGGCCATGTTGTCGGCAAAACACGGAGTTCAAAGGATTGCGCTACTCTGCTCCGTAGGAGCTATATAGTGCTCTACAGAACACGAGACAAAGAAAGCAACGTTGCCAGCTAAAGGACGACAGACGCAATGGTAAACGCGAAGACTGAAAACGCTCAGCAATATAAACAGTGATAATTTAACGTTGTAAACTAAATTCTGAGCCATTCTAACGCTTATAAAAAGCAATATAGTCATTACGCTGCATTAACTTCCCTTTTGTTGAAATCTCGGAAATCTGGTGGTTGCGCGGTTTCGTATTCCTCAACCGCGCCCACCCGCGCCCCACCGGCGAAGCCGGGTACCTGGTTTAGTTTTGCGTTGACGCGAGGCCGTACATCTGCGCGCTATGCAAAAAGAAAGCTTCGAAAGAAACACGAATATCTTTCTACCGGTAAGTTCGTGGATGGTTAAAGTTCAGGAAACTGCTTTGATTATATAATTATATTTGTGAAATCGAAGGCAGTTGGTAACCATGTGTGGGACCCCGAGGGTCTGCCTGCATGCTCCGCTGCTTGCGGCAGTCAGAATGCATGGGAATATGTCGGACCAGAGCCGTATCTGTGTCGGACCTTTTCCTCTAGAGTGGTTAGTACGTATGATCTCTATGGCTGCGGTAAAGTGGAGCTGCGGCGGCTGCGGCAGATCGTGAGCGCGCGAATAATGTTTAAACAGATGCACTGGCCAAATGGACAACCTTCGTGAATATGTGAAGTTTCTAGACAAGTTTTCATGGGTCTACAATGTACACATGACACGGCTACTGTTGGATGGCACACTGGAAAGGATTCCTTTGGAGGTACGGTTGGCGTGGGATTTAAAAATGTCCGCGTGCACATTGATATGAATGGTTGGTATTCCCGTTGGTAGAACCAAATTTTGTAGTACGTTTGGTTGGTACCGTGTCCACTGCCTTTAGCCACTGATGACTGATCTGCAAAGAAAGCTCATTGATGCTAGCCTCACTACCACGCTGTGTAGCCCTGATCATGTTCCCTGTTGAAACCACGACCGACTTAGTTGAAACGTATTCAGAATTTCAGATACGGAATTTCACTCGTCCAGCATGTAATTGTGTTTGTCTAGAATATTAAGCAATTCAAGAGTGACTTGCACCCGGGGAGGTCTCGCTCGGCTGTCTGCCTCTGCTATAAAAATGCATAACAGATTAAGTTGTTCTCGCCTCTGCCGCATATGCTGTCATAGCAAGCGACATATTTTGCGAAGTCAGGCTTTACAAGATTATAGCAGCCTTGGCTGCGCCTTTATTTTTTATTATTTTTTCGTGCAGTGGATTCACCACATCAGTGCACTGTCCACGCAAGAGCTTGGAGAGGTTCCATATGGGCTCATAAAGGCAAGTTCTGCTACTGCGCATTTGCAATGAATTCAGCAAACCTAAATGTTTGGTAAGTTCACTATGGTACTGTATAAAATGAACGGCCTTGAAGGCTGGTTCACCTATTTGCATCTGACTGTGTTCAACGTTACTAGAATTAGGTTGGAAAACTGCCATAGAGCCTGCATTGAAAAAGTGGCTCCGATCCGTACTCGAGAGCCGAACTAAAGGCAATTGCAACACCGCCATTTCTCCCACGGCAGCAGCTACCACTCCGGGAACTGCGTGGCTGCACGCATTGGTTCAGGTCGAGTCACGCATGCTCTGGTGGCGCCATCTCAAACGGCCATCTTGCAGTACCTATATAAATCAACTTTCATGCTTTGACTCATCGCTATATAAAGGGTGGTGCTGTTGTCGTATCTAGTTTGGTCTCTGTGGACGCGAGTGGTTTGGGCTAGAAGGGCGAGTTTCCCAACTGAGTGTTCTAGTAAAATTGACTTTGTTTGAGTGTGGTGCATTCTCTCATAACTGCTGAAAACTGAAGCCCTTAGATAAAATTCATGTCTTGCATTTCTTACAAGTATGAACAACCATTGTTATGCCAACACGCGAGAAACGTGCCAGAAGCGAGTACAATGCCACCCGTTGCTTCCAAGGGCTGCACGGGGCACGCGCCTCGTGCTCTGGTGCACGCGTCACTATACTTGTAGAACAAATACAAACACATCAATGGGCTTTACCTCAACGAAAGAACACACGGTACGGGCTACCCCACCATCTGTGGGGTAGCCCTGAAATTGCATATAACTAGCCCGGAGGTTTCGGAGTACTTGCGAGATCCAATCTGCCCACCATCTGTGAGAAATGGTCAGTTATAACATTGTCAGAATTATTTCAAGTGCACAGGGCATGCGCACTGGGTGTGTGTAGAACTTTTGCACAGGCGAAGTTCGATGCCTCAAGCTGCTCGGGGGACCCAAAGCGTTGGGGCCCCCTATGCTAAAACTCTCTAATGATGCGTAAAAGGTTAAAAAAATATTGACACCAATCGAAAGAATTCTAGAGTGTGTGCCAGCAAGTTGGGCAGTTGAAAGGAAATGTGACACACTTGAGTACAACCGCAAAGGCAGGAAACTTCTGGAGGTGACATGAGACCACCAGAGGTGAAGCCAAAAGTGTGGAGGGACATGCCCCCAATGATGACCAAAACCAAGAGACGCTAGAGTGCCAAGTGAGCTCTCCTTTTCACCCAATGGCGTCTCTTGGTATTGCTCTTCGTTGGGGGCATGTCCCTCCACACTAATGGCTTCGCCTCTGATGGCCTCATGTTGCCTCCAGAGGCATTCTACCTCCATGGGTACAACAAAAAAGCTCAAATGTGTGCACCTGCCCTTAGCCTTACAGCGTCTGCTGCCCCAAACAACGTTTTCCCCAAACTGCCACCCTGCCCATGCAGGAAGACTGGCCGACCACACTGCGCGAGTTTGTGCGCCAGGCGGTGGAGCTGGGGGAGGTGCGATTTCGACCACCGGGGCCGTGTGTTCCCATGGGACTACCGGGGTTGCTGAGCAGGGGCATGACCCCGCAGAAGCAGCGGGAGGTGCCGGGACTGGCTGCCCTGGTGGCGGACGTCTGCAGGCAGGCACGGTGCACCAGCGTGCTGGACGTCGGTTCTGGCCTAGTGCGTGGCATTGGCACAGTCGCACGTGCAGTTGGTTTTCTGGCATTTGTAAGATTGAGTCGAATTCGTACGGCGGAAGCTTCGCACCCTGACGCCCGAGAGAGACAGGGAGTCCGCCCTTGTTCGAAAGTCTCGACGTGGTTCATTGTTTGAGGAGTGCACGTTACCGCAATATACCAAGCGAGCACTTATGCCAAAGTTGTAGGCAGTCGGAATGAATAGGGTTGGGCACTCCAAGAGCAGAAAAGCGAAAGCGTGTGGTAGTGCAGGCCCTCGTTTGATCCAATGGAACTGTATAGGAGTGGGATAGAGGCACGGTGGAACCCCTCATTTATAAAGCGGCCGTACCACTCTTACTAAGCATTCTTTGGACCAGCACTCTAGCGTCAAGCTTCGCTGCTTTGTGCTGGAGCACGCACATAACGCCTCACCACTTTGCGTCGGCTTCTCGGAGATGCAGGTGACACAAAGAAGCATCCCGGTTAACTCGGCGGGCTTGGAAGTTTGCTGGGGTGGGTGCTCGATATGTGCTTTGCCTATATTTTAGATGTTTCAAAAGTAGGGTCCCAGCACTTATTGCGACATAGGCGTATGCTTGGTATCTTGCGGTATGTGTAAAATGTAATTGCATCAAAAAAACATCATTACGTGAAAAATAAAAAAATTGCATGAAATACATATAGTTATAGATCATAAAAATAATTATATGAAGTACACAATGTGCATGGAAAATAATTTTATGAAATAGGCATTGAACAGGAAAATAATTGCATCAAGTACACATTACCATAAAAGCTCGAGCAAGTGCCCGCTCAAAATTTGGAGATAATCACGTAAAACGGGGGATGGGCGCTCCTTAGGTCAACAATATGTAAAGATATGTCCTTTGTGTATTTCCCCAATGTTACAGAATTGAGGGTTCGGCAGTTATTGTAGGATGGGCGGCTGCTCGGTATATTATGGTATAGTGCAGGGGTGGCCAGGTTAACCCAACCTAAGAGCCGCAAACAAAACCACAAAACTTCCAAGAGCCGCAAACTTTTGTCCAGAGAAATAACCGAAAATTGAACTAGTTTAAATCTGTCCAAGCCAAAAGCAGTCCAACTGTACGTAACACAGCAGTAGCACAAGACTACCAAACCGGAACCTGTCTTTCACTTTAAAACGCATTCCATTTATCTTTTGGAAGAAGTGCGGGGGTTGGGGGAGGGAGCCGGGAGCCGCACTTTAACACACGAAGAGCCGCATGCGGCTCGGGAGCCGCAGCTTGGCCACCTCTGGTATAGTGCATAAAAAGACATTCCATGAAAATGCATTACAGTAGTAATGTGCCGGGCAAAGAACTATACACAAAGTTTTTCTGAAACTGAATGTGCTTTCATGATTTATGCGGTTGCCTATAGAGGACCACATCTTTGGCATGAGTGACAGAGTGAGTACCTATTAGACTAAACGAAGGTCGTTGTATGCCCTGTCACTGTGCCACATCTATAGTCTCATGGGGCCAAGTTCAGAGTCAAATTCTTAGCAGTTTTTTAGGGTTTCATTAGTGCTGTGGTTGTTAAAAATATACTAGATTATTTTTTTCCTAGTTTCTGACTTTTGAGGGAAAATATCACATAGCAATGTGCATGTACACTGTGACCACCCTGAGGACAGAGCTTGGTTTCGAAAACCACCATACTTAAGAGAGTGTGCCTGTCTCCTACCCAACCTGCTAATATACATATAGTGACACAGAATTAATCCAGTGGATCAGCATCATCAATTTTACAAAACAAATGGGGATCTCATCAAAGAAGCTGAAGATAGCAGTCAAATCTAGAAAAATATTTGACCTAAAAAAGAGTTATAGTATAAAATATAATGTTTAAAGAATGGCATGTTTTTGCTTAACTACAAAGGGCTATTACTAGTACATACTATTTTTTTTTGTATCTGCCTTCCACTTTTTTTGTGATTCATCTGCACCAAACATACATTTTTTACTTGCTGTTGACAAAGCCAGCCTAATTTCTTACTCTTGGGTCGTGAAATCGACAAGATTGCATTAAGAGCATTTAGTATTTAGGAATGTCATATTTCCCTTATGCAGCCATGTCAGTAAGGTTCAGATTGAGCATGGTCAAAACCCTACCACATCATAAATCAAGTGAAGTTCAAGTCACACCAGGCAGAGCCCACGACATAACATAAATTACAAAGTAAGTACTCGACCAAAATTAGAAAATAATAATGAAATATTAACTTTTTAGCTCTGACAGCAGAAAAGCAGAAGAGGTAAATTGTAGGGTAGACCTTTATTTGATCTGACAGAACAGCATAGGGGTCTAGCAAAACCCCCAATCTTTAAAGCAGCCGGTGCACATGCATAATGCTTCACTGCCTTGCACCGTGACATCTTGGAGAAGCAGCTGACATGAAGGAATTCCTCTTGTTGGCTCGGCAGTTTCGAAAATATGCCGGGGGTGGGCATTTTATGTATACTTTGAGTATGGTATTTCAAGGTGAGCTTATTGCAACATGGGCACATGTTCGGTATTTTATGGCACGTTCTAAACAAGATGTCAGTCACCATGTGTGTATCATTTGACCAGTAGATATTTGTGGGCAGTTGGAAGCCCTCCATTTTTCGTGGCTAACGTGCTGTCACTAAAATGAGCATCGTGCAGGTTTTTAGTTCTGTGGTCAATGCATCCACGTTTCTCTGAAAACTTTCTACAAAACAAGGGTTTGAGTTTTTCCGGCATACCAGGGTCCCATATATCTTGTATCGGCTTTCTTTTCAATTTCGTGTAAAGTGTTAGTCACAAACAGTGGCACTGTTTCTTTCAGGGTTACTTGGCTCAAGTTCTTCATCACAGTTACGGGTTCAGAGTTATTGGCTTGGACTGCGAGCCTTCCCACTTGGAGAAGGCCAACAACCGCTTGAAACTTTGTAAGTATATGTAAAAGCTCATGGCTACCCATTTGCTATGATGTGCTCAATTTTAAAATGTAATGTATTCATCTAAAAAAAATATTGAGCTTCCTAGGAAGGTTTTCTTTGAAGGATTTTGGAATTCTATCTTTAGCGTCCCTCTAAAATCATGCTTGGCATTTCTCCTCTAGCTGGCTGCAGCAAGAACATTCACTACCACACTCTGAAGATTGACGACAGTATGCAGTCAGTTGCCAGTGTTGGATCACTTCTGAAGAGTTGTCCCCCACACGTGGAGTGCAGCTGCGGACCGCAAGAGACAATGCACAGGAAGTTCAACGGTGCTCACATGTTCCTCTGAATTGCTGTGCTTTAGAAGGTGGTTCTTTTTTTGTGCATATTTTGGACCAGTACAAAGTGAAAAGAGAAGCTGTTGCAGTGGCAACGACATATCTTGACAGCAGTCTCGAATGACGGCTCATGGTTTGTAGGCACTCTATCACAAACTGTTTGGTGTAACACCGTCAGGTGCACAGTACACAAACATATACGATAGTCACCCAGTCTAAATATGAATTGTTTATTTTTGGGTTTATTTTGTTCAGTGAATTGTGTAGTAATTTGGGGCAGGCATCCGTCTCACCAGATGCTATTTTGTCTAATGTCATTTGAGAAGCATCAATTTCTTCTTGGTGAGGAGAGATTTCTAAGCCACTGTTTTGTAGACAGTCTATGCAGTCCCTCTCGGGAGGTGGCACTACTGTACCAACAAGCGATAATAATAATCCCTTTCGCTGTGGTTAGACCGGTTACCTGAAAAGCCAATTTCCCTAAAAGTCTAGCATAGGGTATCTCCAAGCAACATTTATGCATATGCAATGAGCGGGTATGCCGACTTGTTTCCAGAGGGCCAGTTTGTCATGGTGGCACTTCATGCCTGTGGAAGATTGACACCCACCATGGTGTATCACTTCTGCCACCTGGAGCAGATCTGCGCCGTCGTCTGCATCGGCTGCTGCTATCACAAAGGTTGGCCCGTCCCTACTAGCTCCCTGTCGAATATTCCAACCTTGTCAACAAGTGTACTGTCTCGCATGTGCAAATAGGTGGGCAACATAGTTGGTTCTTGAACGCTTGATGACTACATGGAGTGTCAGCTGCACTGGATTTTCTTCCTGATTTGGTAGAGTTTGGAAGTGCTGTATCAGTCCGTGCTCAAGGCCTTTAAGTTTCCCTAAACTTCAAAATGAACCAAATAACCACTGTTGTAGATTTGCAGGTAGCGAGGCGTTCGCCCCATTTGGTGGCCAAACCTGCCTCCACATGAACAGTGGTGCTTCTAAAAGTGTATTCTAAGATTGTCTTGTCATAGCAATAACTGTATATACAGGGTGTTTCACGAAAGTAGGACAAATTCTATACTGCAAAAACTACACGTCGTAAGAAAAAAGGCTTGTGTCGTTTGTGTCCTGGGCCAGGGGCCTATGTAGGAAAATTAGTAAAGTCTGGCATAATTAGGTTGTTAATTATTTTTGCGTAAATAACTTTTTTAATATTGCTTTTAAGGGCATGGTTTCAATTGACAGCGCAGAAGAGGTTGGTTGCACTATTTCTCCGTGGGGCGCGGTGTCGCCGGGGCCGAGATGCGCTCCAATAGCAAACCCAAACTTGAAAACCCGTCGAATTTGTGCGGTTTGTCAGAAAATCGAAAAATGCTCCGCGTGCCATTTTATCGTGCAATTTGCCGATTTAAGTGTTTTTTGAGCAATTTTCTAATTGAAACCATGCCCTTATACCCAATATTAAAAAAGTTAATTATGCAAAAATAATTAATAATCTAATTATCTTAGACTTTAATAATTTTCCTAAATAGGCTCTTGGCCCAGGACCAAAATGACACAAGCCTTTTTTTTCTTGCGACACATGGTTTTCTCAATATCGAATTTGTCCACCTTTCGTGAAACACCCTGTATATGCCACAAGCATTCTAAAAACCCAAATAACAATCATGCTTGGCCTTTTTTCTTCCATTAAAAACTATACTCACCCCTTTTTTTCAAGGATACATTTTAGAAAAAGGGTGCGTCGCTGTCTAGTTACACCTTTAATTGGGTAGAAAGGCCATGCATGATCACAATATTTTTCTTTCTGAGGACACCAAGGGCATAGGTTGAATTATCGCTATAAAAAGACCAACTCAAAGTCCACTTTCGTGCCCTTTCAAACATGAGGTCCTTCCTCCAGATTGACACCATTATGGACTCAGGTGTGGGATAACAAAGAGGAACGTCGATGCAGGTGCCCCTTGGTTTCCCCTGAGTACTGCACTGGGACAGCTGTTGAGTCAAGGGCAGCTGGGTGGTGTCCCAGGCAGACTGCAGGGGCTGCGCCTGGCCTGCCAGGGGACACGGCAGTCTTGGAGAGATCGCTCCGGCCCCCAGCGGCAGGCACAGTCCAGGCACGTCCTCTACAGGGCATTGCTCGAGCGCACATTGCAGAAAGGTCGGTGCAGCGGCAGACTTGGTTGCAGCCGTCGCATGCACACAAGTGTATCTGTCCTTGCTTTTTTATTCGGACTGCCGTTGCGCCGATGTGCTGCGTCAAACGTTCAACCCGTCTTCACCTTATATTACCTACTCGTAATCCAAAAGCGGCACACCTATGCGGCAAGTTTCTATATTCACTTTGACAGCTATGTCTTCGTGTTTCAGAAGCAGTGTGCAGGACTTGGAAATAATTGTGTAAGAGTTTAGTGAACAAGATGTCGAATGTGCCTAACTACCACCTGCTTGTCACCGATACAACTGAGAAAGTAAGACCAGAAATAGGGTAGGTTTCTTTAGTGTGGTACAGTAACTCCTCCTCTCCCAGCTGCACAAAATGCGACACAGAATGAACAGGTGAAAGCTGCTTTTCACCCCTTGCCTCCTAGTAACAAGCGTCACTTGTGCCATCCTTTATGGAACATAAAGCCCGACCACGAGTGTGACTGGTGCGTCTGTTTTGGTGCTTATTTAGCACGCTCTCTGTCAGACGGCAAAACCATCCCTGCTGCTCCATGTACCTTGCATTGTTTGCTTTGCTGTTTGACAGAAAGAGAACGCTCTAGTTTGCCAAAAAAAGAAAAAGTAGTCGCTTGTAAGCGTTTGCGTTAAAACAAGTTGGCTTTGGTGCAGAGGTCCATTTAAGCCACCAAAAAAATGCAAAATCTTTTTTTTTTTTTTTAAGTGATATAATGCTTTGGGCATATGTGACAACGAAAATCCTTCATTCAGCCTTTCTGAATTTTTGTAATTGGACAATAATTTGATAGACAGTGACAAGAGTAATGAAAACGATATAAATCGTGCAAGTATTCAATCAACTTCGGCGTCTGCACGTCTGTGGGACTTGGACCAGAAGTCCCGATTCAGAGCGAGATACCACACCTGGAAGTGGAGGAAATGTTTTCTGTCTTATTTCCAAGCAAATTGAGTTTAAAAAAAAAGTTTGCTGCATGTTCCTCAAAGGGAAAAAAAAAAAAAAAAAAGAGTGTGTAGGCAAGGGATTAACAGGTTGACGGTCATAAATGGTGAGCTCTCATTATACGTGCAATGGAATGTGCTTGTCTGGGCCTCAAACTTGGGCAGTAAAATTGCTGATTTGTTGCACTTTGAGTAGAACACAAAAAATTGTGCCAGTGTTTCGTGCGTACCGTAACTGTGTGCATTTTTATTTTAAAAATTTCGGCGGTCTATAAATAAATGGCAATATTTCCGCTTCCTTAAAATTGCATAAGGCATAAATTTTTTTTTTTTTTAGATTATTTGAGGCCACTGAATAGCTTTAGCTTTCCAATGCAGAAACAAAGTGTTCTGCAGACACCACCACTTAGCTTTTTAATCTGGTGCATTTTGGCCGTACACCTACCATAAAATACCGGACAAGCGCCCACTCAAAATTTAGAGATAATCGAGAAAAAAAAACGGGGGATGGGCACAAGTCCGGTCATCAATTTTACATATCAGTCTACCGTGCATATTTTCTCAGATTTTAGAAATTTGGGAATGGGCGGATGTGCGGTGTTCTATGGTAGCCTTCGACCCACGTTTTGCAATTCCAGCCATCATTGTTCAGAAGTATGTTAACTTTTTGAGCAACGCTCCCATGTGCACATACGGGTCTCTCGTACGGCTGCTATTGTTCATCTGCAGCGCATCGCTAAAGCACACACCATTCGGCGTGTCACAATGCAGACGGGCTGCCATGGAGGAAGTCGAAGCGACACATGGCAAGGGACAGCCACACGGTCTCATTTGAAGCTTACGTGGATCACATCATGCAGGACGTTTCCTGCGAGTCGGGTATGTGCCACTGCGGCGAGGCTATGAAATTATGGGGCTTCAAATCAAGGCTATGGTCACAGACCGGATGAGAACAACATGGAGGTCCTTTAGCCATCCTACCTCCAGCAAGAGCCTTCTACCTTGGACAAAACCATGCTCAATAAAGGCCGGGACCACAAGCTATAGGCAACTGTCAGCAGGTTGAACCAGTACTTAATCAACGAGGATTACAAAAGATCAGGATCATTTTCGCACAGATGGAGGATTTATTGTCTTATATTTATTTTTGTGCCTTTACTACAGCGTGTGTATCAGCACCTCACATCTATTTCCACATTCCTACATATCCGTTATGTCCCATAAAGTGTCTTTGATGCTTAAATAAACATGACGGTGAATGAACAAGCTTACTCCACACACATTGCCTAATAATAACTTTCACAAAGCTATCTCACAAAAAAAGTGGTTCCCTGTGTCAAAAAAAAAAAAAAAAGGAACAAAAGAAAACGGCTACAACTGCCGAATTTCCCGAAGGCACAAAGTCCTAATGATGTCCCTGGGTCTTCCAGAGGGATGTGATAAAATTTATTTGTGAGACAACACTGAACCCGGTTCTTTTCCAGGGAATCAGTTGGGATGAGAAGGGGTTCCCCTCTGCCACGCTTGCAGAAGAGCAGCGCACGGGCTGGCGCAATCTCCTCGAGGGACTGCAGTCCGAGGCCAAGAAGCTGCTGCCAGCAGTGGGGACACACGCAGTGAGTTGCATGTCCTGAGTTGCACACCGTAAGCCACGTGCTTCCAGTCGCGCGCTTCAAGTCGGCGCCTCGAATCTTGCACCTCAAATCTCGAGTGGCCAAAGCCATGTGTTGCAGGTCGTGTCCAAGGTCTCGTGTTTGGAGTCGCACTACTTGAATCGCGTGGCACGATACTCGAGTCATGCGCCGTCAGTAGCGCAACTAGTCATGTGCCTCGAACCACATCTCCAGTGACGAGGCCAAGGTCGCATCCTGCATGGCCAAGGTCGTGCTTCTCTAAGACCGCGCTTCTTCAGGTCACATGTCCAGAAGCGCCGTCTGCAAGTGTCTCCCACTTCCAGCTGCTGCAGCAGCTCCTCCAGCCCGTCTGGGAGGAGCTTGTTGTGCGGGACCGCATGGCCTGGGCTGGGGAGCTGGGGCTCTCGTGTCGCGTGAGCCCCGCCTTCGTGGGCTCTCCCCGAGACCTGGCCCTGGTCGTGCTGGGACCTAGGCCTCCGCCTGGGCCATGTAGGCCTCCAGCTCCGCATCCAGGTGACCTCGGGTGCGCGCCATGTACGCCTCCAGCTGCCAGTCCAGCTGCTGACGGTCCGGCTGTGCCCCACCGCGACGGCCCCCACCGCGTCGACGCTGGCGCCGGCCTTCCCCTTCTCGCCTGTGAATCAGAAGTGTTCGGGTCAACAGACCGAAGTTTAGACAAGACGTGCAGGTGACGGCCGAGGACACAGAACCCGACTGTACCCCTTCCGAGACAAAGGGTTACTTGCAGGGTTTCGGGTGGAAGACCACTGATGGCCGTACTGCGCCAAACGAAGTATGGTGTGTCCCCCAAAAAATATGTTTTTTTCACAGCAAAAATAAACTAATAATAATAATAATAACCTTCCCTTTGCTTCAGAAACAAATATACTCAAGCTACAAATCTGCAGCTTGACAGCATGCCGAGCTTTTCGTTCGTTTTCATCCATGTCAGAAAGGGAATGCGTGGTATGGAACGTGGTTATATATACGCATTTGACCGCAGCATGACATGGATGAAAACGAACGAAAGGCTCGGCGTGCTGCGGCTCAGCGTCTACGCAGACAAGCACCACCAGAGCTTCGCCCCAATCAACATCATTCACCACGTGGAGATGCTGTTTTTTTTTTGTTTTTTTTGCCCTACACGGCACGGGAGCACGTGCTCACGAGCACGTGAGCTCACGATTAGGAGCATGTGCACCCGACGGCGGATGGCCATACAGACATGGCTAGCTTCTAAGGAGCTTCGCCCCTAAAAACAAAGATTATGAAGTAGCTTTTAGAGCCCATAGGAAGCTTTCGAAAGAGCGCAAGCACCACATGAAGACTTGTGTGCCAAACAGAAATCCACTGCGGCGGCGCGCCGGAATATTCTCTTCCGGCGTAGGCCTGGAGAAACGTGTTCAGTTGACAGCAGCGGGGACTTCAGTGGCAGGAATGGCTCCGGTATAACTTGCAGCGGCAGCGGCGTAGCGCCAGGGTGCACAAGTCTACCACGTGACAAGTGGTGGCTCCTGCGGGCGCCAACTAGTACAAATATGTTCCGCGCCGGAAATATAGCTCTAAAAATGTTTTTGTTTGTTGTAAATTCAGTTCATAACATTCTTTTCCCATCCAGAATTTTTTTTTTTTCCTTTGCATATGTCTTATGTTAAGCAATTTGGACTTCCAGTGCAATGTTGGTGCAACTTTCTCAAATTTTGGCAAAACTTAGCAGGGTACGCACTTTGGCATGGCAATCACATCACTGCATGTTGTGGCAAAGTGCAAAAACGAAGGAAGGCACAATTAGAAGAACTACCATAAAATCCCGTATGAACGCCCTCTCCCAAGAGATCACCCGTCCAGTTTTTCTAGCTACATATCCATAGCAGTGATGTGATTGGCCTAAGCCCTTTTGGAGCACCTTTTGGAGCACCTTTTGGAGCAGCCAAAACAGTGTTTTGGAGCAGCAAAAGTGGCTGTTGGAGCAGCCAAAACAGCGTTTCGGAGCAGCAGAAGTGGCTTTTGGAGCAGATATTCTTAGAAAAATAAAAATATTTGTTTTAATTGCTGGACAAACGAAGGGAACTTTGTGGTATGTTGTGACAGAACTCGCTGTTTGTGTTTTACTGCTGAGACATCCCACAAGTGCACAGTGTTATAGGCGTTGCCGAGCTATACCAAAAAGAACACTTGCCACCGTTTTACTGGTTCCCGACGTGCCAGATTTTTGTCAAAAGTAAGCAAACGCAAAAATATGAATTGCAGGCGTCCCGGCTGGCGCCTCTGTCATGCAGTCATGTTCACACGCACGTGAGGGCAACTTCAGCAGGCTTGCAGTGGCACGTGCTTCGTTGCGTGGGCGGAGACAACGGCTGTTCAATCGAAACCGAAACAATGCCACACCCCTCCGTCGCCAACTGGTTCCCAAAATAGTGTGCAAAATGTAACTGTCCAGCATACAAAAAAAAAGCAGTCGAGCGGCCTGTGCTTGCCAGGCCGCCAGGCGATGTACAAGCTAAATACACAGGGAAAAAAAAAAAAGCCTGAGCACATCGATGCATGACATCACGAGCCAGGGTCAAAAAGTTCTTGGAGCGCTTCGTGCAACGACCAAACTCGAAGCAAACAAGCGCACTATGTGAGTTCAACGTGCAGACATTGCCTTCTTTGTTTTAGCTCACTTCTCTTCACCAACTTTCTTTCGCGGCAGATTTTTCACGTACCAGGCTCCCTCTCAAAAGGAAGTCCACCGAGAGAAACCTAGGTAACCAATATTTCGACAAGCAGTTATTGAGTTAGAGTTTTTTTTGTAGTAGAGTATGATTTAAAGAAGGCCAGGAATGTCGATGAACAAGTTTAGAAAGCGCCATATCTGCAGCGACGTAGGGACGGCAATACCCGACGTCGTGCGACCACGGTGACTGGAAGGCAGGAACCGAACACAGTTTTCCCACGGCCGTTGCTTTCAAGACCGGGTGCTTCAGCTCACAAAGTACATCCCGCCGCGCGAAAATGTGGTTTTGTTTCACAGCATGACGGCATGGCTGGCACCAGGCGCACTAGCGTCGGAGCGTCCGCACACGCCCGCGTCTATCGTTGAAAAAATTAAAGAAAGACGCGAGACGAGATTTTCAAGACGACGAGGGACCAGGACACGAGCAACGCTGGGCACGACGGCGCGAAACACGATACGGCGGCAAGGAGGTTAGGACGGCGGGAAAAAAATATGCAAGACCGGGTGGACGATTGATGCAGGGTACTTTCTGTCAAGCGGCCGCTTGTGCCACCTAGCTGACGCATGCGCAGTCACGGTTCTCAGTTTAGTTTCGGTTTTGAAAGGCGACCGAAATTGCTTCTTTGGCGCGGGCTTGGTGCAGATTACCTACATTTTGGCAAAATGTAGCAGGATGTAGCAGGGTTTGCCCCTTGGCGCAGTTTGGCGCAATTGGCGCAGCAATCACATCACTGCCATAGGCAAACAATTCTGAAACACCACCCACCCCCCCTTGAATCCCGCGGTTGATGTTACTCCTCTCGGACATCCCGCGATATCCGACAGGAATCGCATCGGCTCTGCAATTTGCGTTATCGGTACACATGACAAGTGAGCTGGCAGCGGGTTCCCACATGTTTGTAGTAGCACCGTGAATCCCTAATTTGTCATGTCCGTGATCTGCATATGCGATAATCATTCTCGTGACATGTAAATTCGTAGTGGGCTCCAGCGTGCTTATCGCACCATGAAACATGAATCTGCTGCATACGCAACCTGGGACATCCATTCCCGTGATATGCGAGCTCGTAGCGGGTTTCCACGAGTTTTTGTTGCACCAGGGAACCAACTTTGCCGTGTATGCAAAATCAGCTCCCACGTCATCTGGTTGATAGCGGGTGCTGTAGTGTTTACCGGTTATTTTTTTATAAACTTTTGCTGTTTCATTCCCAAAGATCGCCCACCCAATATTTTTCACCATTTATCTCTTCAAAACGTGTGGGCATTCATACGGAATTTTACGGTAGCAGTGTGTGAAAACAACAAACTACATAAAAGCAACACTGCCAGCAAAGCAGATTAAACTCCCAGAGGAAGCAGGACAATACATCCGCCGGTGCTGTGCGCTTTGTTTTCATATTTGATCTTTTTCCTGGCCATCTAACTCGTCAGGCTCGTCGTAGGACGCGGGACGAACGTAACCGCACGTCGTGAAATCCAAACTTCTAACACACTGCCTCTATGAAGAGTTCACTGAAACCACGCCAAATCGTCGTAAAATGTGCAACGTCGCATAATCTGAGGATGTATAATCGGGGTTTTACGTAGTGCCCCTAGTCGTTCTTGTTCAAACTCGCTCGTCGACCACACTCACCACCGTCTGGGAGTTCAGACGATGATGCTGCCACCATTGAACATTGCAACCAGTGAGCTAGAAAGCTGCGAGAAGACACCTTGTAAAATGGTTGCGAGGCAGCTGCCGCAATGAAACAGGGCGAGAGTGCCTCACTCCTGGTAAAACTGGACAATTACTATGGCAATCGCATCTCCACACCGTGGCACTCGCACTGTGACACATTCTCATTTTTCTTCCCTGTTCTCATTTTTTACAGAAATGAAGCTATGCCATGAAAAAAAGTTAAAGCTCACCATGTGAAGGTGCCAGTTATTTGACAGTGAGCCCTTCAATTCATAACACAGTATGCTGTATAAAACTGACCATAAACACACATAGTTTAGTAAGAGGCACCGAAGCCACTCATAGTGAAGCTCACAGCCCAGAGTCAAAAGGATGCACCTTTGCACTCACCTAAACTGTCCCATAAAATTGCCGTTACTCCTGGGCTGTCTCTGGTAGCCCCTCTGCATCCCTCGACCTGAAAAAGGTGGGAGTCAAATTAAATCAAGGGATCAGTTAATTCATCCTCCGCAGACACCACAAACAGCTGTGACAGAATTAGATTCTCAAAAACTACCAGACATACAAGGGCCGCCTGGAAACCAAAATGACTAAAATTACCCTTAAGAAAAGAGGGATATGACAATACACAAAAATGTTTCTCAGCTTTCTAATCTCAACAAGAGAGATAAATATCTCGAGCGTGAATAAAACCTAGTTCAGAAATAAAAACTTCAAATACAGCAGACACCTGATGCTAGTCCCCTTCTTCTTTGAACAAAATTCTGGTCCCACTATATATAAAAGAAGAAAATTATAGTTTTTATACATTACAGGAGAATAATTGCAACTCCTTGCATACTTACATTGAAGTGATTCAGCAGTTAAAATTCCTCTGAAGCTAGTATGCCCCCATATCTGCTAAGGCCCAGCCCGAATCATGCTAGCTGAAATGTAGACCAGTCATTCCACAGTGCCATTTGATGATCAGGTAAGTTGCACTGTCATGTCTAGCCATTATTAGCGATGTGAGCGATCGAAAGCATCGCTGTGGTCGGCCCACCACAATTGGCCGAATGCTGACTATGACGTCAGCAAAGGATGTCTCATCGACAGAAATAAGAGGAATGTAAGAACTTCAATTTTGACGGTGTTGGCAGTGTTGCTTTGAAAGTGCTATGATTTCAGGCTTCCACCATGCCCATTACAAACACCATCGAACTTGTTGTTCCAAAGGTAATGACGTCACAAAAGGTAACCATACGAGGGCGCCACCGAAACATCTCGCCGCCAATAGTCCTAGACAGTGTGAGAACGACGGGGCATCTCTTTCCCATGTCGAGCCTCCAGCAGGTGCCTGAAGCTTCTAGCCATACTTTGGCTGCACATGCACATTCCAAGTCCACAAGACGCCTGAGGGTTATTGAAGGCAGGAAGTTTGTGCAGGAGACCGGATAACTGAAAAGCCTCCCTGCAGCTCT